GAAGTCAAATATTTTAATCGGTGTAAAAATAGATACATAATTCAAACAAAAAGATTTGAGGATTTATGTTTTAGTACACAATATATCAGTCAGGTTTAACATTGTTAAAATATGTGCATATACTAATAATAGCATTTCTAATTGTTAAATAAGTTTTGTTATGAAATGGAGCGCAAACTATGAACGACAAGAACATGCTGCTTGATTGTATTTTATTCGCGGAATTGAATTCTTTAAGGAGTTTGATTGGATAAAAGAGAGTTTTAAACTGATGGGGAGTTAACACAAACCGCTGAAAAACATGTTTAATAATTCTAAAAGAATGTTTTAATTTCAAGTTCTCCAGGATGCACCAAGTTCCAGGCTTTAGTATGTACTGGTTGTAGTAGTGATTTTTTTGTTAACTTAATAATTTTATATTTTATTATACGAGTAGCTATAGTAAAAAGGAGGTAGAAAAATGTCACTTTTATCTATGAATTCTGGTATGCATTATGATATGATGCAATATGATGTGCATTAAAATGTCTGTAAAAGAGAAAGATTCTAAAATATTAACCATGTTTAGTATTTTTCTTACTTGAATTTCAAAGGTATTATAACACAGCCTAACAAAGTGAACAGACTAATTATTTAAGACTAAATTTAAGACACCTTATTTGTGATTGATTTGCTGCAAGGTGAAAGATAATATATTATTTTTTACCGATCTTTATCAATAATTCGTCAAACATTTCGAAAAAATCTTGCCATTATTTATAAATTTAATTTTGTTAATGTTTAGTAAAAAGTAACATCAGTTTCAATGATTTAAAAAAAATTCTGGTTTCTTAATTAATTCTAGCACAGATTACAAGGATTATCAGTGCAAGAGAAGACCTATATTTCTGAGACACTATAAAACCACCATTCGTCAGTGCAGTAAGTTTACAGGTACAGAAACCGAGATATGATTCCAGTCAGTAAGACTGTTATCGAGTCACTCAAACAATATGAGGCTACTATAACATTATTTATGAGCACTTTTATTAAATAGGTACAGTCAAATCTTTCCAGAACCCAGTTAACCAGCAGTATTAACATAACGGCACTTTTGAAAATCTTAAAATTTAAATTCGAAATATAAGCCGATGAGATAGAAAAATACGTAATGAGCTAACAATCTGACAACATTCTCGAATGTAAATCCATATCGCATGCCCAAGTGGCTTCACAATATGACTCCTTATCGCAAAAACCTCATAATGTATGAATTTTGAAGGTTATGCCCATGATTTAAAAAAAACATTTATATTTAAAAAAGCACTATATTTACTTTGTCCATTCCCTGGAAAGATGTAACGAACATATCTTTACATTTTAGTTTATGTTGGCAACGTAGACATGAAGATATATTCTTTACATTGCTGGGGCCCAAATCATAGCCTGTGATCATGCTCGTGATTTGATTGCACGTTCGGTGAAGATTAGAATTAATAAAAAGGAAGTGCATACTTTGGTGAAAGTAGGCGTCATTTTGTTGAAATAATAACAAAATAATTGAACATACAGTGGAGAAAGTGGAAAGAAACGTTGAAGATGAAGACAGCAAGCAGAGCAAGAAACTTTGGAAAAAGCTGATTGAGGACTGCAGAGATTCATAAGATATGCCGAGCGATGTTAGTCTATATCAGCGCATAATATTATGAAGCTTCATTGTATACATTTCGAATTTTAAAACTCTGATAACAATTTTGTGATGAGGCAGCTATTTGAAGTTATACTATCTTATAGCAGTGAGAAATTCATAGCTTTCATGGTATAATGGAATGCTAGATTTAAAATTTTAATTTCATTTTCCTGAAATGTAAAATAATATGTATGTGTTTTACTTTAAAATGATTTGTACTTTTCATTATTTACTTATTGACCGATAGATTGAAAAACAAGACCAAGTGACTTCGCATACTGCAATTTATACAGATGGCCTAACAAAATATGATCAGGTAAATTCTAGACATATACATTCAATTACCCGGAAAATCGTCTATCTGGAATTGGCGAGATTTAAGTGAGATTAAGTGAGATTCTGCTGTATCATGCACAAAAAATTAAAAACCGTTGTATCATTTTATAATAATATTCGTAAGTACTGTGAGGTTCAGTGAAGGTGCTTTAACGCATCAATGCTACTTGAATTTCTCCAGGAAGCATTTCTTGTTATTAACTATGTAACCATTAATGCACCGGCCCTTTTAACGCGTTGCCTGTACTATAAAAAGTGCCACTTTTGATAAGATAATTTACGAGCCGGCCTCGTAAATTTGCGGAAGCTATGGGTTGATGTTTCCAATATTGAGATTACACACTGTTATGAATATCTTACTTATTATCTTCAGTAAGCATAAGTCGTATAAGTTCAGTCATCCACGTAACACATACATCGAAATAAGATGAAATTTTGTTTGCTGTCAAAGCGAACAAAAGCTCTGAAGAGAAAAGTACTATTTTGAGAGAGAAAGTGAATAAGACAGCTGACAGAGAAAATGTTTCTTTGATCGTTTCCTTAAGCCAGCATTTTTCGTCTTCTGCTTTAATACAATATTTTGAAAAATGTACTTTCCAGCATCAAATTATTTCATAATTCAAATTTTAATGTTTGCCTTTGGTAACTGACAGTGGGAATACTTATGTGTAATTAGTTTTCAAATCTTCATTTAGTTCTTAATGCATACATTTTGTAGTTGTACTCTACTAAATGCTATGCTACGTGTTTATATCCTTTTTTAAACTTTGAATCACATACTTCAGCTTCCGAAAAAATGGAGGTATACCTCGTTTAAAATTTAATCATCCATGCTAATTTGAAAACAAGAACTAAATACCAATACCACATGAAATGTTTAATTCCCAATTTACTTTAATTCATGTATAATAAATCATGAAATAAACAAAAATGCTAACATTTATTTTGCTTTTTGTGTCAGAAAACACGCAGGCTGTTAGCAATATATAAACCTTTTTGAAGTAATTTTATGAAATTAAGTTTCATGATATTAATATGCTTTTACATATAAAATATAGTTATGTATATTATTGTTGTTATACAGGGTATCTCAAAACTTCAAGTAAATTTTCAGAAGACGTAGAGGTATTGATAAGAACCATATTTGTGCAGGTACAAGTGGGCGAGATACCAAAATTTCTTCATTGATCGTACAGTAGCATTGTTTTCACAGCGCCTCTGGTCCCACGTACCAACTTTGCAGCTCCTCCCATTTTTTTTTATGGAGAAGTGTCAGAGGTACGGTCCGAGGATCTTACGCCTTTCTTCCCCTACAACGAAGCTTCTAGACGAACTTTCGGCTCTCTAGTATCTTAACTGCCCTCATTCCGCACGAATTATTATACTCTAATAAACATCCATGACTTGTCCGGGATTCACTTCCGAGTCTATTGGTGTGGTAGCCAACTTAGCTAACCACTGTACCCATCAGGGCTGTGCCATACAGCAAAGCCTAACCAAACAGATCACTAGCAGAAAGTGGAACACATACAAAGATCTAGAAGATCATATTACGAAAAACTTTGTGAAGAGACTTATTATGAGAAACGCAAGAATTCATCTACACAGAATACGGCTTTTAAGAAGTTTTTAGAACTCTGCCTATTAGCCGGGATGCATTCCGGTAAATGACGCTGCACTGATTGGCGAATATTAACATAGTTGGGAGTTCTCACAGACTCTCGTAAGATGTCAAGTACAGTCAGCTAACACATACACGAAGTGCATGCTGTAAATTTAGCTTTCGTAAAAACGATGTCTGTACCCTACCCATGTTGCTAGCTTTACTGAGGAAGTTCGAAATCCAGAAGAAGGTTTGCATGCGAAAAGAGCTCCTGGAGCGCTAGGTGACAGCGCCATACATCCATTCGTGGGCCAGTTTTCTTATGAGAATATGCTTCATATCGGTAGCATCTACCGCCCTTCAAAGATCTACGTAGAGTTTTGAAAAATCCTCTATGGGAAAAAGCAAATGGTATGGAATTTCACCTACCATATACGCTCGTGTATTGATCTCACGTTGAATTTCATGCACACAAATAAGGAAAAAATACTGATATGAGTAATATATTTGAATGTTTCTGGTTTCTGCGTCAGCCATATGAAAAACTCATTCATCATATGTGCAAGCTTTGTGATGCAAACAAAAACGAAAATTTTCGGTAAGCTAGGTTTCTTAATAAAAGAAAATTATAGATTTAAATCTGCTTCTCTCAATTTGTATTTACATATGACAAAATATTTGTCCTGAAATAAATGTCAGATTTTCTTATCAGCTTCAGAATAATATTGCTATAGAACTATAATCTGGTTTTTGATGATTTCGGTATTTTTATGCATGAATTGAAAACAATTAAAATGTTGCTGAAACGTTTTCTGACAATTTTGGAGAAAATAATTGAAATTAAAAAAGCAAACATGCAGGCGTGTTGAATTGGATATAAAGGCAACCGCTAAAAAGACAAATGAAAAAAGCCGGTAATTTCATGTCTTTTATTATACATTTCGTATTTCAAGAGCTTTGTTCCTTTTTCCATAAACGCGTGCAAGTTTTTGAATTACAAAGCAAAATCACCCGCATAATGTTCGCACCTGGAAATTTGCTTTGCAACACTATTGACAAAAATGTAGAGATTTCACAAGCATATACGAAGTATTATTATTATTATTTGAAAAAAAAATAATAAAAATTCCAGAGCTTTGTCTTAAAACTTTCAGTTTAATATTAAAATTGTTAAATTTATAAAAGTTTCATATTCAGATGTGTGAAATTAAAATCGAAATCTGTTAAATTTGCTATGGTCATTTCCAGAAACACACAGACAGAATTTCAGAAAGTTGTAATAACATCCTTTTATTTTAAATTATCTTATAAATTTATTTATAAAAATTGTTTACTCATCATTCTATATTTTAAAAGAGAAATCACGTAGGTACAATGAATATTATTTTTATCTTATGATTAGAAATAGCATTAATACATTAATTTAAAACAACGCAGAGAGAAATTTGAATGCTACAGAATATCACACTACATAACTCAAATACAAGACCATGAGACTGATATTTACACAATAAAACCTGATGGCTGTATTTTAGTGGATATAGGCATACTTAATCAAAAGAATTAAACTTTCAGTAACATATGCAAAACATTTTATGCTTTATATTTCATATTAAAATACAAATCTCGTAGACCCATAAAATATTAATTAAATGTTAAATACATCGAAACAGGATGAATACATTAACAGACATGAATAATAGTTAAATTTCACAAGTTGTTTTTTCATATTTTTAGTAAGCAATAAAAAATAGCGAGTCGTGTCTTAGGCAGATTTTAACGGTTGGCGCAGTGGTCTCAAAGTCAAACAGCATGGTGGGACGAATGCAGGATCTAAAAAGAGATGACAGGCCAGATTTCGTTTTTTTAAAAAAATAAACAAAATCTAGAAATTTTTTTAACAAAGCATTTATTAACAAAATAATAAGTTTTAAATAAAATTTTAATTTCGCTTACTAAATATTTATCAAAACATAGTACAATATACAGAATAATAATAATACCAAAAAGGAGAAAATATTTCAAATTTATATTTATTTGTCATTCGAAATCTAAAGTTTGGTGCTTATGAGATATTTTTGTTTGCTTCATTTTATAATTTAAATACACTGACAGCTAAATATTAAATTCTTAAACCGATATTTCTTTCAAATTATTGTAACATGTTCAATTAATCATCAAATAAATTACTTTAAATTAACTAGAAATAAACAAATTATGAAAGCTTTTTAAGCCTTCAGATTATTCACCAAGTGGAACAAAACTTGAGAATAAATCATAAGCGAGTGTTTTCCTTTATTTATTTAATTTTTCTTCGGCGTATAAATAAACATATATGTTTGTATGTAAACAATAATAAACTCCTTTATTTCTTACTACAGCTTGGCACTTGAGGGTGTTTCGATTATGATAAAATTTGTAGCCTTGGAGAGAAATTACTAGAAATCATCCTCATCACATATTACCACCGCTTATCAGTCAATAGGGTTCTTTTTCACAAATTTTCAACTGTGAAAGAAAACGCTGTACACATATAAATGCACAAACATTACCAAACAAGCAAAGCGATTACCAATACGATACAAAGCGATTGTTCTTAGTCCAAAAATTTGTAATTGAGCTTATTTACTTTTTAACAAGCGGGAATAAGAATTAATAAAATGTGTATATTCAGATCTTTTAATAAGATTTGTATTGTAAATTATATATCTATACTGTTCAAATATCTAGCCCCATTTATAGATTTTCTGGTGCATTATTCCTTTTGGAAATCAAAATAATGTTAAACAAAATAATACAAACTTGGGCTTCAAATAACTAAAATAGTGAAATATGTACAACAAATACATGACTGAAATGTCTTCGCTTACGTAAAATTGCTTCTTGTCACTAATTTGAGACTACTGGCTACATAGTTTACTTACTAGAACGTATTCACGAGTTATTTTATTATTAAGAACGATATGGATTATTCGACTGCACTTACAAATTCTTAAAAAATATCGAAACTCTTAGATGGAGATTATTTATAGTTGAATCTTCATATAATTTTTAAAGTTATTTTAATTAATTATTTCAAATGAGCTGATATTCTAGCTATAGTAATTAAATGTTTCAAATAAGCCTATATTATAATTTTAATTAATATTTCAATGAGCTGATATTCTAATCTATGAAGATGATGTCGAAGGGATCTAACCTACGAATAAACGAAACTTTAAATTATAAAATAAATACATAGTTTTTAAGATCTCCTCTGAGAAAATGAAACAGATTTACATTCTATAATATTCACTCGCAGAGTCTTTAGTATTAGATTTATCGAAGCCGGAAACATGAAAATATGCAATGACCTCTCTGGGATTCGAACTCCAGACATCCCGATTGTCAGCGGGATGGACTTGCAGTTAATCCAGTCATCTAAATCATCTGAAATACAATCTGAAATTTGTTCAAACGCAAAGCTTTCACCAAGAGAAACAATGGTATAGATACTATATTAGACAAATAATTTTGATAGCTCATCTGTGCTGATTTTTAGAGATATGATAGAATGTTTAAAATAACGCAGCAAATAAGATAATGTAGGAAACATCTAACAGAAAAAACTGCGCATGCAAATGTCTAGGTAAAACTGCTTGGAGAGTAGCTAAGACAACTGATTACTAATAGTTCGACTAAGTCGGAGCTCAGGCGAACAGACAGCTGCATATATGACGAGTCAGTTTCACTTAAAAGTTCTAAATGAAAATATCTCTTAGACAGACAACTCTCATGTTCTTTGCCATATTCAAATAAATCAACACTATGGATAGAGCTATAATCAATAAAAAATATATATTATTTTGAATTAATACATATTTCAGTTTTCTATTCGCACGTAGTTAGTTCTTGTTTAATATAATCTTATTTTTCTCTAGTATTTTGCTCCTAGTAAACTAATGCATATTTGTTTTGAAACAATATGTGTAAAATATTTTTGAGTGGGATACATGATTTTTCTTTATTACACTTTTGATTGAGAGCAATTCAAATTCACAAAACCTGTGCAGTATTTAATTTTTTTATACATCCAAATATAATAAACAATATCTGCTTATAGGAATTAAGAAATTGCATGCATTCAGAAACTTCCTTTTAGTCCTAAATATTGAAAGTAACTATATAAGTTCGGCATTGGGGAACATATTACTCATCATGCGAATCTGTAATAAACTGCCTGCCGCATTACGCTTCGAAAGCTAATATCAAACAGGGAAACATACCCCGTAGGTAAGTTATTGTAGTTGCCTTTACTCATTACAAATTCTTGCTAAACATACTTACATACATCGAAAATCCCTGATGAGAATAGTCGAATGCGCGCATGTTCACAAACCGACAATAACCGTTCTATCCTGAGGACAGATGTTAATGGAACACACATATATGTCTACTTGACTGCGACGTAAGACACTAAGTTTACGTTCTCCAGTCAACTGACATGATGTCATAATTTGATTACACAGATCCATTAACATGCTACTAAGATATTTCCTCCAGCACTTGAATTCTGTTGTCAGTATACCTTTGGAAATGTAATCAGAGGCAGGGAGCAAAGATCCGTGTCTCTGATTGACTTTGCTTTGGGAGCACCATGTAACGAATATCATTATCCAGGAAAAGAAAGCAAAGTAATAATATAACGCATGCTTGCACTCTTTCTCTGTGTAATTTGATCAAGCAGCAGCTCTCATTTCACAGAATTAAATTTTCGTTCATTCTCTGTAAATGAAAAGAATATCAATGATGAAAGCCTTGCTTAGGTAACATAATGGGAATACACTAGTACACTAGCTTTGGTTACGAATGATCAGTCTTATTTCTTTATTGCTCAAAATATAATTCCTGTAAATAATTAATGGCAAAATATAACCATTAGAACAAAATTTATTATACGGTGGCTAAATTTTAAGCAAATTAGTAGAAGTTTGCTCTACGTTATTATACTGCTCAGATATTACCCAGATATATCACTTGAGATGTGCTTAATACGACACATGCATTAAAATTTTGAAACCATATTCAATCATTTTTTTTGTTACATAGCTAATATTTATGCTATTATTAAATCAAATATTAGTTTTTTATTACGAAAAAAATCAAAAGAAGCAAAACGCCGGCACAGATTTATGTTACATAGGTTTCAATCCATTTACAGGTAAAATTTCTTATATGACATTGCAGAGATTGTGATAGCAAGAGCCTTGGGTACTGTAGGTAACACTATGCTCAGTTCTGTCCACGCGTTTGAAGGAGAACACCCCGATGGGTCGGCTCCAAGGATCCTCCACCCTTCTTCCCCTACTACAAGAGGACTTTCGATTCTCAGCATATTTAGAGTGTACCCTATGCCGCATAGACAGTATTGATTTACAGACATCTATGCCTTCTCCGGGATTGGAAACTGGGCTGTCCGGTATGGCAGTCAGAGTGAATAACCACTATCCAGGTTGGGCGGCACAGCTTTATAAAGCTAACTCAATTAATTTAGGCACAACTTTGTCAAATTAAAGAAACAGTACATAATATTGTAATAACAACTGAAATTTTAAATCCTTGACGTGGAAATTGCGTGCTGAACCAAAATATATTTTCCAGTATGAACTGAAAATTTATTTCATATATTGAGAATTTTATGCATTAGATATCTACAAAATATTCAAATGTAAAAGTAAACTCACACGTAGAAAGAGTAAGTAATCATATTTAAGACATATCTTGCTTAAAGCACATATTAGAGAAGTAATTCCTCTTGTTCAGTACTTTTGCCTACATTTTACCACATTATTAGCAATGTTCCGAAGATTTGTCTTGTCTGAAGGCTGGATAACAGCAATGGTCTTGATTTCAAACTTTTTCAGAGGGTGTTAATTGCTTACGTGTTACTAAATAATCCCGTAAAAGTAGTCCATGTCAGTATGATCCGGAGGTCTCTTTGGCCATAGATATTTAGTTATGTTTTGAAGGTTAGGAAGTTAATCCTGTATCTTCGCCGTGTGGCCAGTTCCATTTTTTTTATTATACGGTCATCTTGTGACGGCTAGGAGGATCGGGACTGTGTCCTTATAATAATTCTTCACTGTATAATGTGCTCTCTGATTAATCGCACCGTCTTGCTGTACCTAAGAGTGATTTTCATCGTCTTGCATAAAGACAATCAACTACCATGTAGTGTCCAGGTGGGTTAACTTCTGTCTGGATACTGGATTAGCAGGAAACTACACAGAAGAAGGGTTCAAATCCTTTATTGACTCTTTAAAATTTACAGTGCGTTAACTCGACACTAACAAACTTCGCCTCTACTTGGGCTTTAACTGAAAGTCCGATAGTTGACAATTAAAAGTCGAAATGTTTAACAAGTGATAAACTAACTACAACACTCAACGAGATCCCGAACTTCAACCCTCTTCTAAGCTAGTGGCAGCAAAACAATGCAAATTAAACCACTTGAACCAGCAATGAGAAAACGTACCTACTTCAGAGACGGCAGCTAAAGTCTAACTCTTCTTTTCTCCTACCGCAACTCGGCTTTTAACTACTTCCTTCAACATATAAAATTTGCATGCATTCACGAGCGCTACTACAATTAACTATTCTGGCATTGGCAATTAGGGGAATGAAGGCTTATAGAAAAGTCTGAACTTAAAATTTAAACTGTTACTTAAAATAAATATAAATCCCTACAACCTGATTTATTTCTGGACGGAATTATGAATAGATCTGTTAAAGACCTCGTGAATATCATTCACTGTATATGTTGTTAAAACAGTATTATCCAGGTTACGTTCCCC